AAGACACCAGAAGGATTTTTTGAAAATGGGAAGTGTTGGGAAGTGAAAAGGGATGCATTTCCGATCATTTCCACTCAAAATCATATTGGGCGATTTTCTAGCAGAAACCGTTTCCCGTCCTTTCTTTTCATGGCTGAAAAAATTCATTTTTTCTTAGTCAGAGGCTAAATATTCAGAATTCTAATCGTAATTCTCAATTTTCCTCCATCAGACTACAACTTTTATGTAATAGAAGTATCATACTCGGAATTAGGACCAAAAACTGACTTGATTTCTACTTGGTTTTCATCTTCTGGTGAAATTTGATAAAAACTAAAGTAGTCAGGTACGATAGAAAGACACATTGCTTGACTCAGTTTTTGATTCTGATTTCGAATATGATATTTTTACTGCATAAGAGTTGAGTCCTGCTGGAGAAAATTTCAGAATTGCGATCAGAATTCTGATTTTTTAGCCTCTGACTAAGAAAAAATGAAGTTTTTCGACCACGGAAAGGAATTTCAAAAAAAGGCTCTCTATATTATTTGTATCCATCCCAAAAAAGAATCGAAAAGAGTACAAATGAGTGTTCCATCTCTTAACAAAAAAAACAGATAGGTTTGCAAAAAACGTTGGTACACTTTAAGCTATGTAGACAAATAAATTCTTAATTTGACCGTTATATATGATAAAGCTTTAAATAATAGATGTAGGGCCAATTTTATGCGCTGAATCAGAAAAAGAAACCCGCAGAGTTTCCAAATGAAAATAGAAAAAATGATTCGAATTTTACGTGCCGAAACGGTTTTTGAAATTTAAAATCCTTCTCGTACGTATTTTTAATTTTATCACTGAAAAATTAATTCGAAAGGTTAGAACTAACATATTCTTGATCAGCCCGAGATGCTCTACCCAGCCATTTATAAAAAAGTCAAAAAAGAAAATAGTACTGTAATTTCGAATTACACGCGCCTGATAAACATTTTCATATATCACTGTTATATACTCATTTAAACTATACAAGTAGAAAAGATAAACGAAAAAGAAGTTTTTATTAACGTAGCCTATGACTTGGATAGAAAGAATGGCAGAAATTTACAGCCCCATGATTGCTATTTCAATAACTGTGCCTAATTTAGTAGTTAGGCGTTATTATAGTCTTTCTTGAAATCACTCTTTTCTGATTTATTTTTAATATTTACAATATTTTCAATTCATTTTCCATATCATATGAGCGTTGCACAATGCCCGCTTCGGTCCGATATAATGATCAATAGTTGTCTAGTTGTTTATGTCCTTCACTATGTGTATGTTCGTCATCCGACTTATTATCTTGAATACCATTTATCTTTGTGCTATCATCAACTGTTGAATGTAAATCATGAACATCCAATTTTAACTGATTTTTCACTGAATCAATGTTATCAAATATGTGTTTAACCTTAAAATAAAGTAAACAGATTGATATGTATTTAAAAGTAGCTATCCTTCATTACTATTACGCATGACAGATTTTTCCAGTTATCATGTGAGATGTGATCGGTTTAAGTACCGGCGTTCATCCTCATCTAAACGGATTGACATGTAAACGACATTTTGGGTCACATATAAAACTCAAATATTTTCAGTTTTCTCGATGTGAAAACGTGCTATAATTAGTCTTAAAAACAATGACATACTTGAGTGTTTTTTCAGTCCTTTATGATTGTGTAATGGTTACTTTGAAAGCGCACTTCTTCAAACGCTAACTTCGACTCTCTCGCTCTAGTTCAATCTGACATAGTAGCAAACAAAGTATTTTCTAAGATGCACTACCTCATTCTCTTATTTGAAGCATGATGCCTCTCACGTAGCATAGTGTGAAGTACCACTGAGTTTAACTGAATTCTAATAATTTAAGGTTAAGTTTAGTAATGTCAACCATTGTGATGGATGTACTTGTCAAGCCTCAGTGGAGTAAATTTATTAAAGTTGAGTTAGCTTGCTTAATACACCATACCTTTGGATATTCATCAATCCACTGGTGTTTAGTGTCATCGTTCAAATCATAGACGTAAATGGCCAATAGATCTGGATTCTGGTGTACTTTTGGAACAATTTCTGTTGCAAACTGACCATTAATAATGAGAAAAATCTTTTCATTTTTCACTTTTTTCATCTGCTTTTCGCATTCTTCAGTATTATCAAAAAGTTTTAAATGATCAATTATTTGACGAAATTCAGCACATATGTCGTGATTTTCAGGTGAATTGACGTTTTTATTAAGCCAAACTAACGTATACGATTGTCTATTTCCTTTATTATCACCGTTCTCTATCGTCTCACTTGTTAAGTTATCTAAAAGGACAAGAAAATTTAACGCTTCAAGGTAGTCATATCAAAAGCGAAAAATCTACTTTGTTCCAATTTCGTTATCAGTTTTGAGACTGAGTCGACATTATTCCGTTCAGCTAAAAATAGATTTAAGAAAAAATATAATATTTAAGGATGCAATTTTACTTGCAGATGACAATTTGACTCTTATATTTCTGAAATATCATATTTTAGGACTTCAAAATGTCCATTTTTTCTTCTTAAGGACTTTGCCTATCACAAAAATTGATTGTTGAGATTTATACATGTTCGGACAGCTCATAGTGTTTTAACTTTCGGACATTCTAAAGTCTTTTGACTTAGCAGTGGGTTCTGATGGGTTTTTGAAAAGATTCTAATTACAAAAAAATTCATATCATCGGAAAAGAAATAAAGCTGGTTTTGAGTTGCTGAAAAGTGCTTTTTCATATTCAGCACACATTTGTCAGTTATTCAATGTATCAACGGAAAGATTTGTCGCATGTTTAGTCGGTGCATTATGGTTGCTAACCTGTGATAACTATCTGCAAATCAGTCCGTCATGCTGTGGAGCTAGTTTACAGAGAGTTTGGCTATAAAAAACATAGACAGCAGTGACTCATGCACAGAATTTTGCATAGGTAATGATTCTTATAGTCTAAGTACTTTTCATTGAATCATTAGTGTCTATTTGTAATTGTATCTGATGGGATTCTGTCGTTGTATGGTATCGCTACTATACTGTTGTGCGCTCAAATTTTAGCAGAAACTGGCTGCGCTTAGAATCACAGAATACATGGACAGTTTCAACTACTCTTATTTCTATCCTACGTCACTTTTTCCATTTCAAAAGTTCAAAAGTGTTGTGCATTTTTCTCCAAGTCGCTTTTTTGAAAAGTAAGTGTTGCCATTTTCTCAGATTTCTCCTGTGTTTGAAACACAACAAGTCTGATGTTGATCTTAAAATGACGAGAAAATTCATGTCTATAACGTAACAGAGTCTTTAATTTTTTGAGAAATAAATATTTCAAAACAATTAACAAAGCATTTTTCGAACTCTGAAGATAAAACCTTTGATAAGAAACTAAAGCAAAGTTGGTCTAATAAAACTTTAAGAGCTATACTTCCATATAGAATTTCTTTTATCGATAAATCTCTGTCGACCTTTGCCTTAATATCTCTATTGTAGAACGATGAAGGTCTAATTTACCATAACCACATGATGAATGGAAGCGTTTAAGACTGGTATACAAAATAAACAAAATTTTGGAAATTCACATTGCTAAGTAATCATTATAAGTTTCAGTGACATTTCAGAACAAACTCAACTTACGATAGAGATTATACACTCTCCATTTTGTCTGCTAAACCTGAACCTGTACTTAAGATTAGAAAAAACATTCGCTTACTTCAAAAGGTCTTTTCAAAAATCAAGTTTTTTCTATTGACTCACTCCTAAGACTTCTACTGGAATCGAGAGTATATGGCAGACAAAATGAAATAAATATTGAAATTTTTAGTACACCTTGATTCACTTATTTTTAAGCACTTTTTGTCAGTTGACTAAATTTAATTGGCACGGAAATGGTTTCAGATTGAAGAGATCCATCGTTTGTACAAAGTATTGAATGAAACTGTCGTGTATTTGAGGAGGAAGTTTTAAATTTTAAGTCATCTGGCACTTTTCGTTACAGAAATGAAAAAACAACTTTTAAGGTTATTCACATAATGTAGAATTTATGTAAAAGATCTCAGCTAAACCAGACTCAAATTAGATAATTCGATAGAGGAATGAACGCTCTATCCAGTCGTATAAAAACGAAAAAGATTTGTATGTCTAGCGGATTATAATCATCTGAGAAAAATACCAAAAATCCTGTGGCAAAAAGTTTTTGAAGGCTTTTAGAATTTCACTAAATTCTCGGTCAAGATGAGAAATAAATCAGATGCAAAATATACAGTTCGATAGAGAACTGAATGCTCTATTCGACCATATAAAAATATAAAACGTCTTATGTTCGGCAGAAATACGGTCAACTGACAAAAACTGTTTGAAAATAAGTGAATCAAGCTGTAGTTTGGATTGATTTTAAGGGTACCCCTCTCATTTTGGGCTTTCCGTAGACATGCTGTGAAACAAAAACTAAAACTAACTAAGGCTTCATATTTTCAGAACTGATTAGAAACTCAAAGGAGCACTTTTTTGTTTTTGATTCTAGTTTCTAACTAATGCTGTTCACCGGTTTTCTAGAAAACTCGATTTTTCATTGGACCACATTTCGACCCCCCTTAAATGCCATCCGATCGAGTTAAAAATTCTACCAGAGGTACTTAAGGTCATAGCGCAGAGGCATACTTTTGGAATTTTCTTTCAGACCTTTCTTTACCGAGTTATAGGAAAAATACCGAAAAACTTTCGAAATCAAGTTTTCAATTTTAGAAACCCTATGACTCGGTAAAGAAAGGTCTAAAATAAAATTCCAAAATTATAACTTTGCGCTATCACCTTGAGTACCTCTGGTAAAATTTTTAACTCGATCGGATGAAATTTAAAGGGAGTTGTAATGTGGTCCAATGAAGCCCGGTAGCAAAAAAATGGTTTTCGAGAAAAAACACATTTCGTAAGTTACACCAGCCACTTTTTTCAGGGCATTTGCCGCGATGCTTATATCTCCACGAGAAAAACTGATCGCAAAATTCTCATTGTGAAGAAAATACTTTCTTCTATCAGACTATGTGTACATTAATTAACTTGAATGTATAGAAAAAGAGAGAAAAGTTTATGAAACTAAAAAGTTGAGTTTTTTTAGACTTTGAAGGAAAAACTTCAGAAATGTTTAACTTTTTGGAGAAAGGTCATAGAGTGCTGGAAGTGAGGGGGGCTACCCTTAACCGAGTTATGCTTTTAATTTTCTATGAATATAACCTAAAATAGATTATTTCACCTAGTTTAGGTTTCCACTACGTTCTTGAGTTTTCTTCTGAAAAAAAAACATTGCCAGGAGGCTCAGCATAGTGGACAACCCATGTTTATAATTATTTTTAAGATATAAGAGCTAATGAGATAGAGATATATAGGTTCCAGTAAAATGTCTGTCATTCGGGAAGCAGAGAAGCCGCATGTCTCTACCTCATTCCTATCAACAATTATTCAAAACACAATAGACTTTTTCTATTTTTAAAATGGGTAATAGGTAAGTCTGGCGTCTTTAAAATTGATTCTTGCCGAAAATAGATTTCGGACAGGAAATGGATTCTTAAAGCAATACATTTTTCTCGTTATATATAGAAGGATGCAGCATATCAACTATATCATATGTCAGATTGCACCTTTCTCCTCTTACTTTGCTCTTTTTGAACGTTCGTTGTTGGTGACAAATTGGTAAATTGTTTCGAATTTGCTTTTGAATAATTCGATGACGAATAACTTACATCGGATATCGTCGGTGAGTAGGAACGTTGATCTGGTAATCTGGACAAGTTTGAGGTAGTCGATACTGCAGAAGATTTCTTCTTCGGCTGAGATTGTCCTTTTTTTAAGATTGAAGGTGGAAGAGTCAAAGCTTGAGTCGAAATAGAACCAGATTTCATGGAAGAATTGACCTTTACGACCGGTGTACGTTCCGTCAATGTGGTTGGAAATAACGGTAAGTTTTGAAATTTATCCTGATCGACAAAAACGTAGCGAATTTTTCCATTTTCTTTTTTTTTATAGCGAACTGGTTTGGATGTTGATGCGGGGTCACTGTTTTCCATAATCGAGTTATAAAATAGGTCTAAGTTCTAAAACAAAATCGTCACACCAAAAACGTTCACATTGGCATGTTGAAAGCTTGACTTCAGATTTAATTTTCTTTTACACTAAACACATATCTAATGTCGAGATTATTCTCAACAATTTTATAAGAAAAAAAAACTATTTAAACACTTTTATTATCAAAACATTCTTCAGTTTGTCTTGGTGAGTAAATAAAATTAAAAGTACGATATAAGAACGAAAAAAAATAAAAAACTTGATTTAAAGTTGATGGCGAGCAATGAATATTTTATTATGTTTTGAGATGTATTGTAGAAAAAAACGAGTTCTTCAGAAATCAGAAAGTGTATTTTTCATAGGGTATTATGTAGTGGAAATGAGAAGAAAATCTTGAGTTATTTGCAATAAATCAGTCAATTAATTATCAATAAATCGACGATTTTTAAGCGATTTTACAAATTAATTTCAAATAATCAGTGATGGCTGACAATTTTTTCTTTTTGACGACAGAGGAATTCACACAAGCCTTCTAAAAATTAGTACGATCGATTGTTTTCGCTTTTATTTCGAAGTATCTGTTCTCCAAAGAATCAAGTTAAAAAGGCTTGTTGCCATTCTTTATTTTTTTTTGAAGAGTCTGCTTTTACTTTGTAGTTACTTGTGTTCAAGTTTTTTCAACTGTACACAAATAGTGCATTGACAAATACTGAAACAAATCGACTGGTGCTGCAAGTGACCATTCGATTGCTCAGTTCATGGTTTTGAATGAAACACCGATCTGATCGATTCCATCTGCGATTAGGTGGGAGAAGGAGGTAAAAAATTACTCCGAAAAGTTAAACGCCTGTTTTTTTTTTTGTTTATCAGCTAAATTTTTAGAGTTGCTTCATAAAACGTCCTCCACCTTGCCAAAGTTATATCGAAAACGCTGGATTCTGTCAAATAATTGTCAAGAGCAAGTTGATCACAAAGTTTGTACTTGTAGAGAAATCTAAATCTTTGAAAATAATTCTAAGTGTTTGTAAGAAATTACTCTGCGCTTTACATATATTAGATGCAGTAAAACACACATGGTAATTATTGTAATGTCTATAAAATTCTTTTTTTTGACAGAAGCTTTGAAACCTTCAAAAAACACTGAAGAAAAATTGTGCTGTTTGCTGTTTTGAGAAGCACAACAAGTTTCAAAGAGTTAAAAATGAGTGTAAAACTTACGTTTTGTTGGACAACTACATATCAAAGAAATTAAACAAGTTATCCAAACATGAAAAACGTGACTTATTTACCATGTAATAATCATCCTTTTCTCATGCTCTAAAGCATGTTAGATTCGTATTACCAATGTTTATATTTTTACACTAAGTCTGTTGATTAGGGTAATATATGCAGATTATTGATTAAACTAAGAGATAGAATAACTCTTATTACTTACATTAAGATACAGCTGTAACTGTCTGGTAGAAGAAAATGTAAACAGATTAACATCAGCGAAAAGTCAAAATCATTGAAATACGTTCATAGAATTAGTGAGAAAGGAAGAAAATGAAGTGATTTTTTTTATTACCTATATAATTTGTTATGTTTATTTTTTTAAAAGGAACTTAACGATTCCAACAAAGACGACAAGTTTTTTACTTTTTTATTCTCTTGATGTGAATACGAAGAATTAAAAAGAAGTATTGATTTAATAACAAGAGAGTCGACCGGTACAAATCTCATATTAACTCTTTCTGACTTTATATTCTACCGACAGTTAGCTAAAGAAAATGTTAGGATCCAATCAAATAAATTTTCTTCATTGTAGAAAACGAAGGTTACCCTCAACGTCCTTCGGTCCGTCCGCACAAGAGTCTGTTTGTTACCTGGCACGTTGTCAAACAAACTGCTATGCACTGTGCCAAATCGAAATTCGAAGCAGTAACAAAACTGGGGGTATGCTTTAACACCACTGTAGATAGATCACGACTAGGTATACACCGGTTTCGGTTTTCAAACCTAAAAACCTACTATTGTCGCATTCAAGAAATTTTCATAGATGGTAGGACACTATATAGTATCTATAGGCAAAAGACCATTGAAGTCGGCGTTGGACATCTGGAAAGGTCCTCTCGTCAGTATTATTGTGAAATTTTGTGTCTCGATAACTATATGTAACTCGAGAAATCGCAGGACATAACACAGAAGATCAGAGGAAGAAACATGTTGCATACTCCATTCACTAAGGGACAAATACCAGATATTAAATTCGTTCGTTATTGTGTGTGCTTTTTTCTGATTTTAGCGGCTTTAGCTTTTTGATTATCGGTTGACTGAAACTGGTACAGATAAAATCAGGTGTTTTTTTGACAGTAGTGAATAGATGTTACGTGCTCACTCTTTATATCATTTTAAAATCTTAAATAAAAATGTTTGAGAATTTTTCGGTGTGGGTTTAAACCGAACATCGTTGTTTTCGGTGTCGGGTAATCGACACCGGTGCATACCTAGTCACGACAGGCTATTATAAAGAGCGAAGAGGATCGTATTTATTTCTAATAGCTGTTACGCATAGAATCTACATTTTTCTAGCTGCATAGAATATTGCGGGGTAGTATTGAGCTGCCAGATTACTTCAGCAGAAAGCTATTTCAGAAAAGATTTGCGTTTCACTTAGTACTTGGTTAGCAGTCATGTATCCTGTTTAGTATTTATCGCGATTATGACAGCATCACTGGCTTTTCGATACAAAAATAATAGTGGCATTTATCTCGACGCAGAAACTACCCATGTGCTGAAAATCGCTTCATTTTTGTCGATTAATCGCGATGGTTGAAAAAATCGACGCTCAATCGCGATTCGGGAAAAAATGGTCATTTAATCGCGATTAAGTGATAATTTTTTCGTGCATCG